AAACCACAGCACTGTTTGCTTGAAGCTCGTGCAGCAGGTGGAGGTGGAAGAAAGGAGGGGGTCCGTGTCTACAAACATGCCCATTATGGATGGCTCTCCTGGGCTGCCGTGGCACCAATACACCCAGTCTGCAGCCTGGAGGGGCCCGACGCGCTCTTCGCACAGCCGAGTAATCATTTTTATCCCCGCCATTTCCCAAATAGAAATGGACACGTATGATAAAAGTGTCAGGGCCAGTGTGGGCGACAGGACCTTCTAACTGCATTACATGTCACATCCTCACGTCCCTCTCTGCTTTGCTTTGCCTGCGAACGGCCGTGTTATTGCTTGCAGGAACTTGGCGGTAATATACAGTGTGAGACAAGCAGCTCTTTATGGCCTCAGATTATTTGGTTTGAATGAAAGTGCTGATTTATGTCTGTTTAAGTGAAAAGCTCTGTAAATTCCCTCAGCTGCATTTCCTGTTCTGGTCCTTCAGGAGCGACTGAGTGGAATGGTAGTGACAACTGAGGCTGGTGTGGAAATGTGTCAGTTGTGGTCTATTTAATATACCTGACAGAAACGTGAAGAAATAAACCAACCTCAAAAACTAAGCCTTTACCTCCTCTAACGTAACACAAATCAAACGCAAACCCAAACATAGTTATACTTGCATATGCTTCCCAGTGAGCACGCAAATCATCGCATCATCTGGAAAGTATCACGCTTTTTTTTTTTTTAAGCCATAGTTGTGTACAAACCTCTGATGAACATCTAAAACCACAGACAACATCTGCTAAATGTTCTAACATCCGACAAGGAACATTTTGGCTAATCCACATGAAAACGATGAACACATCAAATCAAAGCCATAGTTGTGTACAAACCTCTGATGAACATCTAAAACCACAGACAACATCTGCTAAATGTTGTTCTAACATCCGACAAGGAACATTTTGGCTAATCCACATGAAAACGATGAACACATCAAATCAGGGTTATTATAGTTAAATAAAACTAAAATTAAAACCATAAAAAAAAAAATGTTACTTGAAATAAAATATAAAAAGCTTATTTGCAACATTTCTCATTTTTATTTATTTTTACTTGATGTACTAAACTAAAACTACAATTGTAGTAAATAAATAAATAAAATATATAGACATTAAAAAGTATAAAAAATATGAATAAAAACCATATAGATAAAATAAAATGTATCTAAACTAATTAAATAAAATTAATATAAACTACAAAAACATATTTAAAAACTAATAAAATAACAAAAACAGAGCAAAATTGCTAAAACTAACTAACTAAAAAAATATGAAAACATGAAAATTCTAAATAATAATAAAAAATAATAAAAAAACTAATATAGTATCAACTTGATATACTGAAATAACTACAACTATAAACATTCAAATAGACATAATAATAATACAAAATTACGTTAAAAAAAAATTACCTAAAAATGTGAAAACTAATAAAACTAATTCAGAATATTGATAAAAACTATTTTAGTATCCCAAAGTACTAAAATAACACTGGATCAACTTGATGTCTTGGCGATTGGTTGGTTGTGTGTATGTGTAGTTGAGTAACTGCTCTTGGAGTCAGTGGAGCAGGGTCATATTGTCCCTAGTGTGGCCTTGGCTCTGTGCGCTGACACTGCATTGTCCAGCACAGCCAGCTGAGCGTCTGTCACAAATGACCTCATTCATCCTCGGCCTCTCACACCATTACACCCCATGGCCTAATATCAACAGCACATACATGTTCTAACACCTGATCAATACCACACAGGCCAGGCAAGCGGCCACGATCGCCAGGCTGGGCTGACGGTGCCGCTCTTTAAATTTGTTGTGTTAACCGAGTAAATGGTCTCTTCATGTTGACAGTGTCTTGTCTTTGTTTATTTACAAAAGTGGGTTAGCTAGAGTGTCTGTGTTCGGTGGGGTTTGTTTGTACTCTGGCCGCGAGCGTTGATGGATTGTAGTTTTTTTTTTTTTTGTGGTTGTGCTTTATGGGAGCAAATATTGAAATCTGTTTGCAAAACCATAAAATTAATGTGTAAATATTTGTTTATGTTGTAATGTGCACATGATTTGGAAATGTATGACCTTGGTCAATTATGTTAGTGAGTATATATGCATTCAAAGTTGTATTATGTTTGTGGGATTGATTTGAACCACATATAGTAAATAAACTTGGTAGTTGACATAAAAATCAAGTAATGCCCTGCGGTATTGGAATTCTGCCTACTAAATGCAGGGATACTTCTTTTTTTTTCAATTGTACACTACCATTCTAAAGTTTGGGGTAATTAGGTCATTCATTCATTCATTTATTTTTGTTTGTTTGTTTGAAAGAAATTAATTATTTTATTCAGCAATGATGCATTAAATTCAAAAGTAAGAGTAAAGACATTTATAATGTTACAATGGATTTCTATTTTAAATTAATGCTGTTCTTTCAAACTCTCTATTTATCAAAGAATCTTAATAAATGGATCCCGTTTCCACAAATATATTAAGCAGCACAACTGTTTTCAACATTAATAATAACAGAAAATGTTTCTTGAACATCAAATCAACATATTAGAATGATTTCTGGAGGATCATGTGATACTGAAAACAGGAGTTATGACTGATGAAAATTCAGTTTTGCATCACAGGAATAAATGACAATTTAAGTAAAATATATAAAAACATAAGTTATTTTGAATTGTAATAATAATTCACAATATTCCTGTTTTTACTGGATTTTTATCAAATAAATGTAGTCTTGGTGATCATAAGAGACTTCTTACCGACCCCAAATTTTTAACCGTAGTGTGTATTTCTGTACATATTTTTGTTTAATGAAATAAAAAATATTTTTTTTACCAATATAATGTTCAACTACTCAAATGTAAAATATGTTTCTTTAAACTGTTTGCCCATCAAGCATACCTGTGTTCTTGTGTGTAATGTGTGTGTGTGTGTGTGTGTGTGTGTGTGTGTGTGTGTGTGTGTGTCTGTCAAACACACAGAGAGGCTTAGCTGCTTGCCAGCCTTCCACAGTGCAATAATAAAGTCAGTAATCTCCTCATTTAGGATTCAGCATCTCACAGTATCTTAATGAAGCCTGTAATGAAGCTCTCAGAAACTCTCAGAACCCCCAAATCATCCACTAGTTAAACCATCCAAAATACCCAGACCAACCACAGCATACACACACTCGTCTTAGTCCTAGACATTTCTTTCTGCATTTATGATGATTTCTCGCCCCCTGATATAACTGAATAATAGTATGTTAATTTCAGCTTGTGTTTAGTCTGGTTTTAAGGCTGTTTTTTTATGTCTGGCTTTTAAAGCTTTTAAAGCTGATGTGTTGAATGAGAATTAATTGGGATTCACTGAAATATTGCTTACTCTAAAGTGTGCATCCAGTGGATTCCCACAATTCCCATAAGTCTGTATAAAAAGGTAAAACAAAATGGCAAAGAACTGTGAACCGGGCAGCTCTAGATACAAAAAAAAACACTGTTCCTCATGGTTAACGACAATTACTACTACTAGGAAAGTATAAATCAGGATGTGTCCCAATAACAAACACAGAAGGCCGCAGCCAAAGACAAAGTGCGACTTCTTAGAGGGGCATCATTACAAATGCATGTTAAGATTAACATGTTTGATTAAAATCTTTCACAAAAAGCACTTTTTTCTGCTTCATTATTCTCCTATATGAATGGAATTCATTATGCAAACACAGAGAGAGAGAAACAGAGAGAGGCAAGCATGATGAGGAAGTTTGTAATCAATCTTAATGGCTCTTTACTGCTCCAAAGTTCATTATGAATATCAGGCAAACACAATGAGCTATCTTTCACCCTCATATCGATTGCTATGCAAATTTACATACATTTCAAGCAGCCTTGCCTCTGCAGAGAGCAGAACCGGATTGTATAATAAAACAGTTTGTTAAGAACAAAACATAACGACACTTGTGAGAACACTTTCTGCTCATTATTACTCCGTACTTGTGATTTTGGAACAGCAAGCGAGCGCGTTCAGACACGTGTACACGTGCGCCTTTCTGTTTAGCATCGCCTCAGTGTGGAGAGGTGCCATCATGCTGTTGAGTGTGTGTCAGTCGGTGAGTGTCCCTGTCATGTATGGCTGTGAGTACACACACCGTGTGTGCAGTGTGCTGTGAAAATTCGAGAAGGCAGCACTGCAAAACAGAGGAAAAACAAATTCGTACCTACGGGCCTTTTCAGCTCTCTCTCAATACCCCCAGCGCCCTGATCCGTCTCACTTTAACTCAGGCATAGAGATGTGCCGGAGTGGACGACGTATTTTTACTCCAATACAATCTGGAGTTATTTTCGTTTTGACAGATAGTGGCATTTGCTGCCAGACAGAGGCTTGATTGCAGAGCTCACTACCCGTGTGATAGTGTGCCTATGATTAACGCCTACATGAAACGCAATCATTCGTCAATAATTAATTCACCCTTTCATCGTTCACGGCTCATGAGGGCAGCAGATGTGCTCAAGCGAGGCAGTATACGTCTTTGTTTTTTTTCTTTTTTTTTCTTTCAAAAACACCAATAACTTGCTGGAAACTTGTTGCATTATGTCTGGTTTCGAGACAGTGTAGCATCCATTGCATTTCTGTATGAAAATGTAGAGTTAATAAAGTTTTTGTAAAGGTTTAGTACTCTAAGTGAGCATGTTCTTAAAGAGAAGACAAAAAAAAACAGTTTGTCATCATTTACTCGTTTCAAACCTATATGGCTTTTATACTTCAGTAAAACAAAACAATATATTTTGAAAAATCGGGGTCATTTTTTTTTTCTTTGGGCCCAAGTGACTTTAACTGACTTTAAAAGAGTTGAAACATTCTTCAAAATATAGTCTTTTTTGTTCCACAGTTCAAAAGAGTCATACGTCTAGTACAATAAATTGATTCAAAACTGTTTAAGAATATAAAAAGCCTCGTCATGTCACTGACCAATCGCTTCTTGTTGTTTATCAGGTCTAAGTATCCGCGGGGCTCAGGAGGAGGACTCGCCCGATCCACAGCTGATGCGTCTTGACAACATGCTTCTGGCAGAGGGCGTGTCAGGACCGGAGAAGGGCGGAGGATCGGCGGCGGCGGCAGCGGCAGCAGCAGCAACCGGCAGTCCCACTGACAACTCCATCGAGCACTCTGACTACAGGGCCAAACTCTCCCAGATCAGACAGATCTACCATACCGAGCTGGAGAAATATGAGCAGGTGAATGTCAGTATTCAATACAGTACAGGAAGGCTTTACCAGCTTATATATATGTGTGTGTGTGTGTGTGTGTATTAAATATAAACATATGTATATATTATGCAAATAATAAATTTCTTTCTACAGTTTGAAAATCCTTTCTAAAGGTTTAATTTTCATTTTTATTTTTTACGTTTTTCAGAAACATCCCATTTTGATCAAAGTGATTGTTTATACATAAAAAGCATACCAAATGCAAGCAGAGTGTCTACTTTAATGTTTCAGTTGTGGAAATAAAATGACAAAATATGGGTGAAATAATGTTCCATCGTCATTCAGTGTAACAGATATATTTATGTAAAAATAGTTTGAAGAATTGTGGCAAAAAATCATAAAGATTTAAAATTATAATTAATCAGTTTTGGGGGGTTGCACTGTGATCCTCAAATAGAGTCTTTTAATATGTCATCTAATGATTCTTGTTCTAAATATTCCTGACACGATTTTTTGGTATACAAACTATTGTTACACTGAATAACATTTTATTGTGTGCCATTGTATTGTGTTTATCATTGGAAACATGTATGATAGTCATTTTTTGCTCAGAAAAAGTAAAATTAATCAAAACACATTCTAACGTACAGAAAAAAAATGCTGTATTAAACTTCTGTTGTTTTTCAAAATCTGATGACCATCCTATAACCGATGGCGTCACTGCAGTTTTTGTATGGTAAATTGTGACCTTTTCTTTCTTGCATTTATTGAACCATATTTTTGCCTTTACATTTGTATTTGTGTTGATTCTGACAAGAACACTCAAGTTTATTTTAATGACAAAAGCAAATTATGTAGCATTTCATTTATGCAGAACCAAATCCTTTTCCAACCTTGTAATCACTGAAATTGCATATCTAGTTATGTTATGAAGCCCAACCAGACTGTACTCTACAGAGCCAAGAATACTGCAAAATAACTTTGTATCTGCATTCACATATTTGCATTGATCCTATGAGTGTGAATAATCCCAGCTTGCTGTTCAGAATAGATGTTTTTCACTGAAGCTTCATGACAGGTTTAAAGGGAGACCTGGAGGCCTTCATCTGAACTGAAGGTGTCAGAGGTCTAAAACTGAGCAAGCATTTTGAGTTTTACAGTCATGTCTATCATGATTACGACTGAGAGCAGATGTGATTTATTGTGATATTCAGGCATTAGGACATCTTCAACTTACCTGACCCCTGAACAGCGGTAGTCTAGACGTCCTCTTATAAATATTGAGCAGACGCTTTTAGTGACAGTGTGGAGAGCAGCCTCTGATTGCATAGTGCATTTGAGAGTGTCGCTATGCAGGACTTGCTGCTTCATTGAGGTCATGTATTGATTCTTTAATGGAGCTGACATTCATTTTTGATTCAGCGCTTTAGTTATTTTCCTCATAATCAAGGACGAGTTGAACCAGGGCCTTTCAATCTTTTTTTTTTTTTTGGTATGCGGTACAGTTAAAGTGCTTGGTGTTTTGAGAAGATGCCTTGAAAAAATAATAAGTTATAGCCTGCATGTCTATTTACCCCTGGGTCAATGACATCATGATCTTTTTTTATGATTGAAATGTGAGATGTGTACATTCATGTGTTAATTTTTACTTGACGGTTGCACAATGTGACAGAAACCAACATGAATACAAGTACACAACTTATGTTTTAAACTAGATTTTACAGTTTTTCCTCTTGTTCACTCTTATTTGTCATTTACCCCCTACTGTTCATGCTGTACTTACACCATAAACAATAAAGAATGGTCAGGAGAACACTTTAATTTGGAAATAACAATCCTTTTAATATGATATGGAAGTTGTTTAGCTGATGGCTTAGCCAGTCATTGGGCTAAATTAGTCTGATTAACTTGCAAGCGTTTAAAAAGGGAGCATGTGGAAAAGGTGGCTCAACACTTTCACCCAGAGTAAATGCATCTTTCTTAAGGGTGTTCCTCTTTTAATTATCTAAATGTAAATACTTAACATTTTACTCTGAGTAATGAGCTAAAGTGTGCACTACCTAAATTAGTTATTCTAATGAATCATGTATGAACCACTGCTTTAACGAAAAGCTGTTTAATTCTTTGGGCGCTGGGCAGGTGCCAAATTGCAAATTGGCATTTGCATTCATAGATGACTTCACCTATTAAGTCGTTCAAGTCCTCCGCAGCACTACAAACAGTATGGATGGTGTTTTTCCCGTGCTTTCAAGAGCGGCAGCTTTGAACTTGCTTCAAAAATTGCTGATTGCTGCTCCAGAGAGCTTCAAACAAATACAGTTGAACTGATGTGCTTCTTCTGCGCAATAACATCAAAGAGCATTTCTGTCACTGTGTTGAGAGTATATAACGATTTTAAAAAGAGGGTCAATCTCTAGGATGTTTTTGGAGTTTAAGTGAGGATGCGATGCCAGAATTGTATATTCAGAAATTATTTATTACATGTAGCTGTTGAGTCTCAGCAGCAGGTCCTAAAGGCTTCAGAGTAATTTAGTTTTGCGTAATGCCTTTTTACACTCAGAATAAAAGCTGCGTCCTCAGCTCAAAATTGTCTTTCTCCACAGGCATGTAACGAGTTCACTACCCACGTCATGAATCTGTTGAGGGAGCAGTCTCGCACACGGCCCATCTCGCCCAAAGAGATCGAGCGCATGGTCAGCATCATCCATCGCAAATTCAGCTCCATCCAAATGCAGCTTAAACAGAGCACCTGTGAGGCCGTCATGATCTTGAGGTCCCGCTTCCTCGATGCCAGGTTAGTATCAGTGCGAGATCTGTCCACATAAACTACAGTATCTCAAATGAGTTGTATCAGTTGTATTTGAAAGAATTAATATTCTGCTATATGCAAGAAAGCAATGTTTAGAGAATATGATTTCAAGTTAACCATCAAATATATTGACCCCAAAAGATGTGGTCACATTTACCATTTATAAATCAAGTCATATTCACTTCATATTAGGAAGTCATATTCATAATAGGATGTTTCATGTGAGGGCGATAAAGTTCCCCAAACATATTTCTCTAGTGTCCAAGTTTGTCACATACATTTGCCATGTTTGCCGTGAACATATTGTTTAAAAAACGAGTACAAAAGATTCATTATTCCACTAAAAGTTTGTTTTACAGTAATGGCTTAGAAAAGTGAAGTTTGTCTGCAGATGCCACTTGGTTTGATATTTTATCTATACAGTGGAATTCATGATTTTAAGTGTGACTTTAAGTGTATTAAAAATACTTTTTGGTGCCATTGTTACTTGAATTGGGAACCGATTTTAGCTACATTTCGAGTTCATTTGACCTTTAACCTACACAGTCAGGGTTTAGGCTTAGCCACTGATGGTATGACACCTGTTATCAGCCGACCACAATGATGCATTCATTATTATTCAGCCATTAGTGGTTAAGATGTGTTGCCAAGAGCAGAGTTTTAGAGCCTAGAGGCCATCCACGGAGCGCAGTCATACTAAGCACCTGAAAGCAGTTAAGCGTTTTATAGAGTGGAAATGAAGTCATTTGCGTTTGGTGGGTAGGAGGTCATCAGCAGGTGGTCCAGATTACTGTAATCACAAACAGTTGGAAGAGGAGATCTGGAGAGGTGTAGAGGGGAGAGAAATGATGCAGTGAACATGAGAAAAGAGCGGATGAGGTCTCGAGGAGAACGCTCAAGTGAAGCGGAAGCACAATCGTTTGGCCGGCCACTCGTGTGAAAGGCATTAAACAAGGCGAGAGAAAGAAGCCAGCGCTTAACCGTGGCGGGGTGGGCAGCAGTGAGTGGCGGTAAGTGCAACTCCATCAGGCCATGCCCCAGTACTTGAGAACAGTGTTCAGCTGGCCATGGCCTGATTTTCCTAATGTCCCAAGATACAGCTCTGACTGGGAATGCTTGAGCACCTCTAAACGCCCCCATCAGAGTGAAAGAAAGCACGATAGAGGGAGAAAGAGAGAAGGAAAGCTCGTCGCTCTAAACACTGAACATTTCATGCTTCGCTTAGAGCTCAACCGATAACGTAACATCGTTCAGTTGTGTGTCTACATATGTATTCTGATAATAGCCTTCCCGACTTCATTTCCTGCCAGCAGCTTCATTATGAGTTTGGCCATCACACATAGTTTTATTTGAGTTTCTCTAATTGCCTTCCTCCTCTTGTTTTCCCCCCTGCTTGTCCAACGGCAGACGGAAACGGCGGAACTTCAGCAAGCAGGCGACCGAAATCCTGAACGAGTATTTTTACTCGCATCTTAGTAACCCTTACCCCAGCGAAGAGGCCAAAGAGGAGCTGGCTAAGAAGTGCAGCATAACAGTATCCCAGGTGAGACCACACCACCCATCCATGTTCCACACGTCCCGTTTGTTGGATAGTCTGGAAAGAATGACCGACAACAGGTCAAAGTCTGAAGACTTAAAGTCCCCATGCCCAGGGTTTAATTAGGTAAATCCAATGCCATCCCTGCTCTGTCCCATTTAAAATGGTATTCTTAGCTGATTTAAGCTAGTCTGATTTCAGCTGGTCTAACTCTGGGATCTTCAACCCTGCTCCTGGACTCACACTGTCCTTCAGAGTTTAGTTCCAACCTGCTCCAACACCCTTGCCTCAAATTTTTCAAAAAATGATCCTTAAGACCTTGATTAGATGGTCCAGGTGTGTTTGATTAAGGTTGGAGCTAAACTCTGCAGGACAGGGGTCACCAGAAGCAGAGTTTGAAGACCCCTGGTCTAGCAGGTTTAGATGGTTGGCCAGTTGGTCCCCTAGCCTGATCAGCTTAAAAGTTCCCAAGAACCCTCTAAAACCAGACAACAGACAAACCTGACAGGCTTTAAGATCATCAAACCATCTTAGACTGGTTTAGGCTATTTTTTTCAGCAGGGTATCATAATCTAGGCTAACGGTGACTAATTGGCTATGCTACGTCACACAAAGGCTCTGTCTCAAATGGTGCATCTAATGTGGAATTGGGGTGGACATGACCTTCTCTTGTATGATGTCTAGCTTGTCATTTTAGGTTTCCAAACCTTCCCAAGCACCCCATTTGAAGCCACTATGCATCCTCGAATGTTACCCAGTAGTCCATGTGGCAAAGTATAGACTCTGAAGAGGATTGCGAAGGCTGAGGGTGCCATTTGGGACAGGGCCAAGCTTGATCACACCAGAAAGACTCTCCAGCGCACTGTCTCTCATTGTCCTCTTCTTTCCTCTCGTCACTGTCTAGCATGCATACCTGTTTGCTCTAACACATTAGTCTGATACTTCCACTGAGCTGAGTCTCAAGCAGGGCCTGAAGACAGAGTGTACCCTGTTGTGGATGGATGCCACAGTTTGTGGTGATCTGTGTCAGTCATTGTGTTTTAGAGTAAATGTGTGCGCGCATGTGAATGTATGTGTGTCAGAGAGAAAGAAGAGGGACTTTATTTTAGTCAAACAGTATGATTCATTATCGCAAGGAATTTAAAAGTATCACAGTGTTTTCCCACTCTAATAACTAAATTCAGAATCCACCTGAAGGCAAGAATACCCACCCACACCCATCTCCCCACAGACAAAACTCTTTTATTTTATTTTATTTTTCAAACGGTCACAGAGGTTGTTAAGGAAAATGTTTACTATTAACCTATTGGTCTTAGAGCATATCTGCATACTCTGTGATGTAATAAATGTGTTTTCTCTGTGGGGAGGGGCTTATGGAGGGTTGTTCAGAGTCAGATCCTGTAAAAGCCATTCTTTTTTGCCTTCAGGGGGTGGGAACCACCATCACAGTGGCACAGGTATGTCATGACTTCTCCTGCTCCACTTTTCTTGTGCCATTTGTTTTTCTTTGTTGCTTTTCCTTTATTCTGTCACCCCTTTATGTGTGTTCACTTATACCTTAGAACATGTTAAGACATACTCAGCACTCTGTTCCCCAAACGTCTACCTTTCCTGCACTTAGTGACAACAAATCTGCACACTTAATCAAGTGTCAAATGGGAGTGATATATTTGGAGTGCTTAGTAATCAAACCAAGTATCAGACAGTATTTATGTTGTAAGACTTCTGCTGTAATATACATATATACACACCACACCACCCATCCATGTTCCACACGTCCCGTTTGTTGGATAGTCTGGAAAGAATGACCGACAACAGGTCAAAGTCTGAAGACTTAAAGTCCCCATGCCCAGGGTTTAATTAGGTAAATCCAATGCCATCCCTGCTCTGTCCCATTTAAAATGGTATTCTTAGCTGATTTAAGCTAGTCTGATTTCAGCTGGTCTAACTCTGGGATCTTCAACCCTGCTCCTGGACTCACACTGTCCTTCAGAGTTTAGTTCCAACCTGCTCCAACACCCTTGCCTCAAATTTTTCAAAAAATGATCCTTAAGACCTTGATTAGATGGTCCAGGTGTGTTTGATTAAGGTTGGAGCTAAACTCTGCAGGACAGGGGTCACCAGAAGCAGAGTTTGAAGACCCCTGGTCTAGCAGGTTTAGATGGTTGGCCAGTTGGTCCCCTAGCCTGATCAGCTTAAAAGTGCCCAAGAACCCTCTAAAACCAGACAACAGACAAACCTGACAGGCTTTAAGACCATCAAACCATCTTAGACTGGTTCAGGCTATTTTTTTCAGCAGGGTATCATAATCTAGGCTAACGGTGACTAATTGGCTATGCTACGTCACACAAAGGCTCTGTCTCAAATGGTGCATCTAATGTGGAATTGGGGTGGACATGACCTTCTCTTGTATGATGTCTAGCTTGTCATTTTAGGTTTCCAAACCTTCCCAAGCACCCCATTTGAAGCCACTATGCATCCTCGAATGTTACCCAGTAGTCCATGTGGCAAAGTATAGACTCTGAAGAGGATTGCGAAGGCTGAGGGTGCCATTTGGGACAGGGCCAAGCTTGATCACACCAGAAAGACTCTCCAGCGCACTGTCTCTCATTGTCCTCTTCTTTCCTCTCGTCACTGTCTAGCATGCATACCTGTTTGCTCTAACACATTAGTCTGATACTTCCACTGAGCTGAGTCTCAAGCAGGGCCTGAAGACAGAGTGTACCCTGTTGTGGATGGATGCCACAGTTTGTGGTGATCTGTGTCAGTCATTGTGTTTTAGAGTAAATGTGTGCGCGCATGTGAATGTATGTGTGTCAGAGAGAAAGAAGAGGGACTTTATTTTAGTCAAACAGTATGATTCATTATCGCAAGGAATTTAAAAGTATCACAGTGTTTTCCCACTCTAATAACTAAATTCAGAATCCACCTGAAGGCAAGAATACCCACCCACACCCATCTCCCCACAGACAAAACTCTTTTATTTTATTTTATTTTTCAAACGGTCACAGAGGTTGTTAAGGAAAATGTTTACTATTAACCTATTGGTCTTAGAGCATATCTGCGTACTCTGTGATGTAATAAATGTTTTTTCTCTGTGGGGAGGGGCTTATGGAGGGTTGTTCGGAGTCAGATCCTGTAAAAGCCATTCTTTTTTGCCTTCAGGGGGTGGGAACCACCATCACAGTGGCACAGGTATGTCATGACTTCTCCTGCTCCACTTTTCTTGTGCCATTTGTTTTTCTTTGTTGCTTTTCCTTTATTCTGTCACCCCTTTATGTGTGTTCACTTATACCTTAGAACATGTTAAGACATACTCAGCACTCTGTTCCCCAAACGTCTACCTTTCCTGCACTTAGTGACAACAAATCTGCACACTTAATCAAGTGTCAAATGGGAGTGATATATTTGGAGTGCTTAGTAATCAAACCAAGTATCAGACAGTATTTATGTTGTAAGACTTCTGCTGTAATATACATATATACACCCCCTCCACTCTTCCATAGAGAATTTCACTCAGTTGTCAAACCGCTAAAAGTATGTGTCCCTTATGATTGTGTTATGTCTTGTCATTACACATTTTGACATGCCTGTGATAGATATTTACCCCACATTGTATTTAATCAGTGTGTTCTGTATATGTTCAGAAACTATTTTTTATTTGGAAATAACTTTAATTAAATTAATTTGTATGTTGTAATATTTTGTTTTGTAGGGAAATGGTTGCAATGGGGTTAAAAATAGATGCAGTTTAGCAGTTTTTTTTTTTTCAACAAATAAAATATTGTAATATTAATTTCTACCAGTTTTATTTATTTACATTTCTAAGGTAGCAAGTTTTTTTTTCACTCTTATTGTAACAGTTTCTAGCACATGTAGATCCCATTGGTTGCCTGTGTTGCCATTTTTCCTGTATCTGAGACATGTGCTGATTAGAAGTGATGTGTGGTGTTAATGGTATTGTTGATGAAATTTGGTCGCCTTTATCAGGCACCACTTCACTCAGTGCACAGAATCAACCTCATTATCTGAGCACAATCTCTGTGCATGCGTGATGCTCTGTCTTCTAAATGCAGCACACAAGGTCACATGATGCTTTTTTTGGGGAGAGAGTTTTCATAACCACTGTGATTTTAAGCATTCTAGTGGGGTTATTGTGCACCCTGCAAATGAGTGGGCACAAAGTGTGGTGCCCATCACCCAATTAAATGCGGTTCTTCCGCTTCGATCTTCCTGCGGTTCAAACGAGCGACACTTATCAATATTTCAGCTCATTATACATGTAGCAGAGCTCTGCCTCAGGTTAATGTGTTAACTATTAATGCAGACCGCTTCATTATTGATAATATCAGCAGCCCTGGACACTGCAACCGCCCATGACAGGGAGTGTGTGTGTGTGTGTGTGTGTGATGAAGCCAGAAGTCTGAGTCTTCATTTAAGCTCCACTCTCAGCAAGAGAAGCAGTATAAATCGGGAGGTATTGAGACCTGAGTGCAGGTCAAATGGAGTAAACCCCAGAATACTTATTATAATTATATAGTATTCAAACATTTATGATATTTGTTTTAAAAAAAATACGTTTTACTTTAAACCTAATCAAATAATGTTCATGAACACTTATGATGGTTATACCCCTTACATTCATTGTTGCATTCGATACTTTTTGTACACATTTTTTTTTAAGATTTCCTATTTTCATCATCTTTATCTTTCATCCTTATTTGTCATTGACTCGTACAGCTATAGAACAATCATTTAAATTAGTTATATGTTGTAAACATGTTTTTGTTTTGTTAAAATATGAAACATTAGGGTTAAAAACAGCTAAGTTTAAGGTATTTAATCTATAGAGGGAGGTTAGCTTAGAGACTCTGTGTGCCTCTTTTCCATGGCCTTAAACTGCTTCATAAGCAGGTTAAGTAAAAAGGATGACGGCTAGTGCTTTCATTGCTTCCAATTAAACCTTGCTTGTTAGTTTAACCTCTAGGTAAACCCATCAAACAATTGATGTTAAGGCAAAAGACTGCCAACGGTGGTGGCTTCAGCCGAATGGTCATTAATTTTAATTGCCTAGATATTAAAGATTTAGAAGCGCAGAGGCATGGTGGGGGTAGAAATGATCTGATGTCATGTAAATTCAGCCGCTGTAGCGTAGTGTGGCTCAGGCTGCTGGAGATATTAAAATGGAAGCAGAGAGGTGGAAATTAAATAAAGCATCATTAAGGGGCTGAGGCTCTCTGGTCCTCCAGTCCAGCTAGAGCTGGAATACGGCAGGAGAGATCGCCACAGCGACAGGCCACTGTAATTTATAGGGCTATTAAGAAACAACCCTTAATCTCTTTATTATTCCACAATTATGCAGTGCTAGCATTTGCACATCTACCACCCCCCATGTGACCCAGATCTTATTGTTTCCTGGCTGCTGTTTTTAGTAAAATTAGCATTATTGTAATTATTAATGTATTGCGTTAAGGGCTGCTTTTAGGTGTACTATCTGAGTTGTGGTTATTATTATGTCTATTATTTGTCTTAAGGCAGGAGCACAAAAGTGGTTTCATGCAAAAGAAAATAACATTAGTGTTATTAAGATACATAAAACATCCAAGTTACCTTTAAAGAAAGGTAGTGAAAGTAAAATCTAAAGATAGTGTTATGTTAAAACTCTTATTTAGAATGTGTCCATTTATTAAATGGGGCCAGGGACCAGAACAAACACTTTTTTAGCAAGATCTCTGTTAGCCTTACAAGGAAATATACAACCTTCACATTTGGCACTAGCTACCTGATCCCATAAGCACAACACTGATCCAAATTTTGCCACAAGACGAGCAGCCCCTTGTGTGTTGGTTTTGTCTAGAGACAAACAGAGAGCATGTCACGCCTCCATCCGCAATAACGCACAAGCCCTGTCTGATAATCGCTTAATTAGTCTGCATGCCCAGCGGATATTACTGTGGGAGGCTGGGGACTGTGGACTTGATGGACCCAAACATGACATCTTGAAACAATCACTCTGCTCAGTGCACAGTGCCTTGTCTGCATTGACGTCTGACACCCCCTCCTCTTTTTTTCCCCCTCTTTCCTTTTCTTTCCATCTCTCCCTCAGGTATCCAACTGGTTCGGCAACAAGAGGATCCGCTACAAAAAAAACATTGGCAAGTTCCAAGAGGAGGCCAACCTGTATGCCGCTAAGACAGCCGTGACTGCCGCGCACGCAGTAGCTGCCGCCGTCCGTCCTAGTCAGACCAACTCACCCACCACACCCAACTCCGGTAAGCTTGCACTGATCCCGGACGAGCCCCTAAAAACCAACCAGCCATCCCCTATCCCAGCTTGGTCCCTTCTGAACCTCTGCTCCCTCTGGCATGCCGGTTGGCTGCTGTGACAGTGAGAGGTTCCCGACTAGGGGATGATCCT